GCCACACATGGACCCCAAGACGCTTGAGCACCCCAGCAAGACCCGGCCGGCACTCTTCCGGTCCCACGCCACCACTGTTGGAGGACTTAGGCAAATCCTCAAAAATCTAACCATCCAAGCCGCAAGCACTCAGACAACAACCCGGGTTTCTACTGCCAAGGTCACAAGCCCTCAGGAGACAAAGGCTACGACGAGTTTGAGACGGGTGATCCATGCGAACTGGCAAATGGCGTTGAATCAGGCGAGCACCCTTGTCTGTGGATACGCAGTGGGGTCCTGTGTCCCCATCCGCAGAGGCGGAGAAGAAGCATGTGTCCGCTCTCTTCTTCAGGATGGTGGTTGGTGGTGCCATCAACCTCCAGACTGGAAGGCCTGGCATGGAAATGTGATGCCGCTCCCCCTGTCCTTTTTGGTCGATGATGCAATGATCCTCTGTGCCTGCGAAACTGCTGCCGACGCCCCGGACGGCCTTTTTGCAGCACCTTGGCATGCTCATCCTGTCTCACCACTTTGGGTGCCTTCAGCTGGCCTTTGCGATGTACTCAGTATGCAAGCGCCAGGGAGCGTCCCGACCTCGTTGTTCACACACCGAGGGGGGCTCGGCCTCGGCGTAGTCACTAAAATAAGAATGGGGAACGAACTGTAGGGGAACCAACTGTTAAAAACGAAAACAAATCCAAAAAACGAAAAAACTGACAAACAAGTGAAAATATTTGAAAACAATGACGGATGACTACGAGGCCAGCATGAGCTGTTGGGCACAAAGGAACCAAACAGTGACAAAAAACATGAAAAAATGAACAACAACAAAAACAAGTGAAAATAAGGATGGATGACTACGAGGCCATCTTGAGCTGTTGGGCTCAAAAGATGACAACTCATGACAAAAGCTGACAAAACATGACAAACATGTCAAGACATGGACGGACGACTTTGATGCCAAGACGAGTTTTGCGCGACAAATAATTTAGCCAACTCATAATTTTGCGCGGCGAAAGTCCAGCGTCTTCAAACCACCCAAGCTGATTGACTTACAGTTGCTTAGTTTTGCTCGGCTCATAGAATTCTGGGGCTTCCTTTTGAGATTGGGTTTGAGTTTCCACGTGGCTTAGTACTGTTGGATTTGAGTTTCCTTTTCACGCGGTATTGCTGGAGCTTCGTCTTGAGAATGGATTTGTGCCTCCAGTTGACGTAATATTGCTGTAGCTTCCTTTCGAGGTTGGATTTGAGCGCCCGTTTGTTCTAGAACTGTTGGGATTTGACTTTCCGTTCGCTTGTAAGGTTGGATATGAGTCACTTGGCGCATCACGCAAAGGTCGGAGGGAATAGAACAGCTATCTAGTTGCACTGTTTTTCCATAGAGTGCCCACGATGTTTCCACATATGCGTCCACATAGTTACCGCCAAATTTCCGCACAGCTTCCAGAAAGTCAAACGGGGCGCGTCCCATTTGGACCCTTGCAAGGGCTAAAATCCCAAACCTTAAGCCCTAAAACCTAAAGCTATCATCTAATCGATTCGTACGAATCGGAAAAACCCGAATCGTTTGCTGCTCGATTTGGGAGAATTGAGGCTTTAGGATTTCAAGGTTAAGGGTTTAAGATTCTAGGGCTTAAGGTTTGGGATTTTAGGGTTTAGGATTTGGGATTTTAGTTGAAGGTGTTTTGAAGCAATGCCAAATTTTTGGGGTTGATTGAATTTTAGGGGTTAGGGTTTGTGATTTTAGCCCTTGCAAGGGTCCAAATGGTACGCGTCCCGTTTGACTTTCTGGAAGCTGTGCGGCAAATTGGTGGTAACTCTATGGACACTTAGTGCACAGAGTGGCACCTGCACACAGACGCCAAATTCTACGCAAAGAGTGGCACCTAGCGGCGTTTCAGCGTCACACCATCTGTGTGTGAACTCTCAACCACTGGCGCAAACCTAGCGGGGTTTCAGCGTCACATCATCTGTGGGTGACTCTCAACCACAGGTGCAAACCTAGCGGGCTTTCAGCGTCACAACATCTGTGTGTGAACTCTCAACCACTGGCGCAAACCTAGCGGGGTTTCAGCGTCACATCATCTGTGGGTGACTCTCAACCACAGG